TATCGAGCTTCAAGCCTGGCGACCCGCTGATCGAGCTGCTCGCCTGCATTCGCCTCGTGCGCCGGATTCCCGATCGCGCGTGGGCCGCCTTCCAGGCTCGGGTCGCCGCCGATTGCGCGACCGGAGTGTGGGGCCCGAGGCGCCGCGAGAAAAAGTTGGCGACCGGATTCGGGATGGCCATGTGCTGGAGCGCGCCGTGCCGATGGCTATCTCGCCAGAGCATGATCGACTCTCGCGCCATGGGCGCGCCGCTGGCTCCCCTGCAGTCAATGGGCGGTGGCGTCGTCTGCATCGTGCCGCAGGGAACTGATGGCACTCGCAAGCGGCCCCCGAACGCGCCGAACCCTGGCGACGCGGGGCGCGCGCGCGGAGTCCTCCCCGCGCGCGTGGGCATAGATGTGAGATTCGCCGTCGAGGCGTCCGAGCGCAAGAGCTTGATCCAGGAGCTGAAGGCCCCGATCGTGAGCTTCGTGCTCGAAATCAGCGGCCAGGACAGGCATGACGCATGCGCTCTGGGAGAGATCTTCCGCCCGTGCTGTCTGCCCGTTGGAATCTGGATGCAGGTTCGCAACTTCGAGAAGCAGAGTCCAGGGGTGGTGGAAGCCCTCGTCAACTCCTTCGGAATCATCGGGATCCAGAAAGAGAAGGCGAACGGCTAGGTTTGTTTCCCGCTAATGGAGGCACACTTCAAAGTGCAGTGCGCCAGCATAGTGCGCGGGGCGCTTCCTGGCGCCCACCGCGTCGCAGGGCCAGTCGATCCGCGCCGGGGTGGCCATCGACTGCGCGCGGGACACGAGCGCTGGCAGACCGGGGGAGAGGGCCGAGAACTGGTGGCCGCACCTGTGCGCGATCCTCAGCAGAGACTTGCATGGACGATGCGCTCTTGCTTCGGCCGCCGCCAAGAGAGGCCCCGCAGGAAGGCCCGCCTCCATCTGTGCTCAAGGCGCTCAAGAAGTTGGGCGAGCGCATGACTGCGCAGACGCGGGATATCGAGGTTCTTGTACTGGGGCGCCAGTGGATCTTGCTGGCGGCGCGAGGTCGTTGGTGCGCACTGGCGCCGGAATCTTCCCGACAGACAGCGCTGTCCAACCGCGTCGACGGCGCGCGGCCCGCGCCGCTCCTGGGCGATTTCGGAGCGGCCGCCCAGCTTTTGCCCTCGTGGCAACCGCAGCCCAGGGACTTCCCATCGAAGGGCGCTCGCAGATTGCGCGCGGGCGGATTGCGCTTGCTTTGCAATTCCTTTGCGCGCGCAGCTCAGAGACTGTCCGTCGAAGAAGCGCGGGGGCAGACGCGGGGGCCGCGCGTGAGCAGCCGTGGGAAAGTAGGCCGACCTAGGCGGGGGATGGGGCGCAGGGGCGCGGGGGAACGCAGCGTGGGGGGGTGGAGAAAGAATTGCTCTAGAGGCCCCCTAGAGGGTTTGCGCGAGTGGTTCGATGTGTGCCGACTTCCAGATTGGGCCCCCTGAGGAGCGGCGATGTGGCAGATCGTCTTGCGCTGCCTCGTTGCCTGTTGCCGCCCCGAGAAATGGCCCTCGGCAACCGCCTCAAATTTTCCCCCGATGAAGGATAGAAGGCGGGGGAGGGGGAGAAGGGCCAAGAAAAGGCGCGTTGGGGGGCAAACCAAGGAAACATTCGCGACGAGGGTTCAGAACGCAGGATTGCGCAAATATGTTTGGCAGGGAAACATGTCCTCTCGCGTGGGCCCTCGGAAACATCTCACGGACTCCCCGAGCCCCCTCCCCTTCCGCGGGATCTGGGGGGGGGATATGACCGAGACACCTCCCAACTAGTTCTCGCTCAGGACATTTCCCTGGGGGTCCAGGGCACCCCCGCGCCCGCCCCTTCGATTCCAATGGCGCACGATCTACAGACAGTTCGCTTTTCGGGAAACGGGGGCGCATGCGGCAACGTTACGTTGACGCGCGAGTTCGGTGACAGACAATTCGGCGGGCAGGAACTTTATGCGCGCACTATGGTACGACGTACGCACGATTGCCATAACTATGCCGTTGCCATCGCGCGCGATCGATTTTAACTTCGCGTAGCATGAATATTGTAAAGCGCGATACCTCTTGTCAGAGGTTGGGGGTGAGATCGCAGTGAATCGAAGACCCCCCGCTGGGAAATCGGTTTCGGTTTCGCGTTCGTGTCGCGCGCGCGGGCGAGGCGAAGCTGCGCGTGATCCTCTTGTAGCTAGGTCAAAGTAGGAGCGAAAGTCCGTTCCCGTCCGCCGGTGGCTGGGAGGTGTCCCGGTTGGGCCAGGCGGTGTCCCGGGTGTCCCGGGTGTCAGTGGGAGCGAAAGTCCGTTGCCCGTCCGCTGGTGGCCAGGGGGTGTCCCAGTTGGGCCGGGCGGTGTCCCGGGTGTCTCGGGTGTCCGGGGTTGGGGTGGGCGGTGTCCTGGGTGTCCCGGGTGTCCCAGGCGTCCCGGCGCTAACGCGTGTTTCTAATTTCATAATTCATTTTTTTTGGCGTTTGCGGTGGGCTTTCTGTTCCAATCCAGCTCACGTAATCCAATCCATCTTGTCCAATCCAATCCGTCTTATATAATCAAACCCATCGTGTCCCATCTAATCTTACCCAACCCAATCCAATCCACCCAACCCAATCCATCAATTCATTTTTTTTGCGCCTGCGGCGGGCCAATCCAATCCATCTCATCCGATCCAATTCTTCCAACCCAACCCATACTATCTTACCTTATCCATCTTACCCCATCCAATCCAATCCACCCAACCCAGTCCATCACTCCATTTTTTGTCGGCGCCTGCGGCGGGCTTCCTTATCCAACCCAATTTATTTTATCCAATGTATCTTGTTCAATCCAATCCATCTTATCTCATCGAATTCATATTTTTTCATCATATCTTATCCCAGTCAATCCAATCCATCCGCCTGATCTCAATCCCCCCACCTCCCTTATCGCCCGCAGGGCGGTCGTATAGGTACATATCTCGTATATTCACTACGCAACAAATATCAATGATGATATCAAGGGGAAGCCTCTTGTGGACTTTTTGAGGCCTTTCGGGCTTGCCTCTTGGGGGCCTCTTGGGGCCTCTCGGGAGTTAGCTGACGGTCTCGGGGGTCATATTTGGGCAGAGGGCTCGACATGTTAGGGGCCGTGACGGGTGTGGCGGGCCGTGTTGAGTTTTTTTTGGCCGTTTTATTTCCCTCTTGTGGGCCACTTGATCCGTTTTCGGGAGATTTTGGTGGTCTCTTGGGCCGTCTTGCAGCGCCGGAAGCCAGAAAGGACAAGAATTTTACACTAACTCGGCAACGAAGGTTCGGGGATGAGATCGCAGTGAAACGGAGAGCCCCCCAACGGGAAATCGGTTTCGGTTTTGTGTTCATGTCGTGCGTGCGTGCGAGGCGAAGCTGCGTGGGCGGGCGAGAGGAATGAACCCTCTTCTTGCTAGGGCGCCGCTGGGCCAAACGACCGCCCCCCCCATGGGTTGTCCTCCATCGATATCACTATCGAACTCACTATCGATATCGCGATCGATGGCACTGTCGATATCACAACGGACCTCCCTATCGATCTCATTGTATCACTGTCCCATTTACAATCACCCTCACTATCGGTCTCACTATCGATCACACTCGACCGATACCACTGTCGATCTCACAATCGATCTAACCATCAATATGACAATCGATAGCACGATCCCTCTCACAATCGATATCACTCGGTCGATCTCACGATCGATCCCGCAATCGATCGTACTATCCTTCTCACACCCGATCTCACAGTCGATGCCACTATCGATCTGACAATCGATCCCACTGTCGACCTCACTATCGATCTCACGATCGATATCACTATCGATGTCACTACCGATCTCACTATCGACCGCACGATCGACCTCCCGATCGATATCACTATCGAGATCACCATCGATTATCGATATGATTGTCGATCTCACTATCAATCTCGTCATTGATACCACTATCGGATACACAATCGATCTCGCTATCGGTTTCACTACGAGACACCGACGGGCACCAACGGGACACCGACGGGACAACGACGGGACACCGACGGGACACCGGCGGGACACCCGCAGGACACCCCCAGCCACGAAGGTTGGTCGTATAGGTAGGCGTATGGAAATCAATCGTGCTGGCCTCTTGGGGCCGTCTTGAGCGAAAGAGCCTACAGACCTTTGAACTCTCACAGTTATCTGAGCCTTGGGCCCCTCCACTACGCGCCGACGGCACAATGGCTGATATTCTATTATGTTTTCCCTCTTCCCTCTCCGTTCCCTGGTCCTTCATCAGTTGGAGGGTGGAGGATGAGCAGCAACGGAACCCAGCGGCGGGGCTGTGCTGTGAGAGTCCGGGGCTCGCGTAACGGGGGTCAGCGCTGACGGGGGTCAGCCACTCCGCTCTGGCTGACCCGAGTTTGCGAGCCACGTGGGGCCGACTCCCCCTTTCCGCCCTCCGCCGGCCTGGCTTTGGGAGCTGCTGAGCGGCTGGCCGGGCTTCGCGACATGGCCCTAGTTGTCCCAGGTTTGTGCTGACTGACCTGGGTAACGGTTGGGAATGTTCAGATAGCGTGTCGCTCCGCCAGTTTTGGCCCACCGCGTTTCGGCGCGACTCGCTATCCATTTCCTGGTGCCCAGGCATCGACGCCCCGCGCCTTTCGACGCCATCCGCTTGCTATGCACAGCGTGTCGCTGGGGCCCCCGCCGGGACACGCCAAGCAACAGTTCCTGACCGTAGTGGGTCCCCCAGGACTGGCGCGCGCGCGCGTGCGGAGAGTCCGCGGCCGCCTTGGCTGGTCGCTGCTCCGAGGCGCCGCGCCGTCGCCGTCGGTCTCGTCGCCAGCGTCGTCGTCCTCGTCGACAGCGTTGTCGTAGTCGTTCTCCTCGTCCTCGTTGTCCTCGTCGTCCTCGTCGTCGATCTCGTCCTCGTCGTCGTTCTTGTCCTCGTTGTCGTCAACGTCCTCGTCGTCGTCGTCGGCATCGTCGTCGTCGGCGGTGTCGTCTCCGCGCCTCTCAGGTGCCGCAGATTCAGACCGTGGAGGTCATCAAGCAGGTCATCAAGGAGGCGCACGGGCCCGGGTCGGGTCGGGTCGGGTCGCGCTGTCGCGCCGTCCGTCGCGCCTGAGCTGGGGCGCCGGCTACCGTCGTGTCGAAGCACAAAACATTGCACAAGCCAGTATCGTGTATCGTTTTAGCCGATCTCTATCCCCATCTCCGTCCCCATCTCAATCCCCACCATCGCAGCACCCCAGTTGGGGATATGCCCCTCGAAACGCGGAGGGAACAGCCTTTCTACCCATCTAAGCGGGTAATTGCCACGCCAGTGGGGATGGGGATCGGTTAAGCGATGTTCAAAAAACATGATTTCTCTGAGCTCCCCGCGGATTTCTTGGTTCCGCGCTGGGCCCCCCTGGCGGCGCCTCCGGCGCCGCCCCTGGCGCGCTACGCGCGTCAGGGAGGGGTGTCCAGCGCCAGCCCAAGAAGTCCGCGCGGACATCAGAGAAGTTATGCTTATGCCGTCGTTGTTCCCCTAGACGGGGAGTGATGGTCGCCTCCCCGCCCCAGGAGGCCAGGCCCCGCTGGCCTGGCCCCGGACAGACCACGGCCCAGAGGCACCACGGCCAGGTTTCGAACCAGTCCAGGCCGCGAAGCCGAGCTCTTAGCCCTCCGAGCCGATTCCGTGAGATTTGGCGGAGGAGGAGGAGGAGGAGGAGGAGGAGGAGGAGGAGGAGGAGGAGGAGGAGGAGGAGGAAGAGAGGGTTTGGCCTAAGATCCCTGAGGGCACACCCGATACTGAACTTCCCTCCAGGCCGAACCCCTTGCGCGTGCTCTTCTGAGCGCCGCGATATTCATTTTTTTTTTTTTTTTTTTTTTCTCTCTCTCTCTCTCTCTCTCTTCTGCGGCCACCCAGAGGGAGCCAGAGGCAGCTTGGCACCGCAGGGCGCGGGCCAGGCGCCATCAGGCTCGGTTGCTGCTATCACTTGCTTCAGCCCGACGACTTCTGGACGGGCATCACAGTTCGATGGTGTTCGCGGGACGCAAGTGGTCATGCAAGTGCGGGCAGAGAGTGCCGTTCCATTTCAAGTGGTGCAACAATTGTGGCGCCAAGTGGCAAGGGCAGCAGTACGATCGCTCTCAGGAGCCGCCGTGGCGCCGTCGCGATGCCTCGCGTGGTGCGCCAGACGCCGCCAGAGATCGCTCGAGAGGTGCCCTCGACAGCGAGATCAGGCAGCTGATCGCGGCGACCCCCCCGGCAAGCCCTGCCCAGGCGCAGCAGCACCCGCAGTTCTCTCCGCCCAAGAGGCTCTACAGCCTGGCCCAGCTCGCCGTTTCGGCGCGTGCGCTGGGCAAGGACGACGACGATGTATTGTTCGACGTGTCCGTGGTAAAGTACAGCTTGATGATGCTGCAAGAACCCCACAAGCGAGTGTCAGAGACGCGCCACAAGCGCGATCAGGCCAAGGAGAAGCTGGACGCAATCAAAGGCAAGATCCGCGCCCTGACGCAGCAGGAGATGATGGCCAAGAAGGAGTTGGCACAACTCGAGGATTGCCTCGAGCAGCTCGAGAGCGAGGTCCAGGACCTAGACGAGGACTGGGCCGAGGGCGCCGTCGAGGATCCCTACCTACAGGCTCCAGCTGGCGCCGCTGCAGGCGCTGGCTCGTGTGCTGGTGCGCAGCCCTGGCCTGCCGCGAGCTCGGGCGACGGCATGCAGCACATGATGATGCAGATGCAGGCGCAGCAGCAGATGATGATGCAGCAGCAGCAGCAGGCTTTCGAGTCCATGATGTCCCAGATGTGCCAGCGCATGCAAGGCATGTCCGTGGGTGGCAGCGCTGTGGGGTTTCCTATGGCGGCGGCTGCGCCGCCCACCCAGGTCACGGGGCATCCTACGCCACCCTGGCCCACGACTCAGGAGCCCCTGATACCTGGGCCACCCTTCTCGGTCACGGGCAAGGGCTCGGGCAAGGACGGCAAGGGCAAGGGCAAGGACAGGCTGCTGGATGGCGCACCTTACCCCATCTCGGCCACGGTTCCTATGTCAGCAGCTTCGGGCGGTGGCAGCGCCCCCACTCAGATCTACTCGGACACGCAGCAGGCCAGGGAGCAGCTGGACTTCCTCCTCAGCTCGCAGGGCATCGCCTACATGGACAAGCTGAGGGCCCAGGGGATGGCGGCTGCGGCGGCGGCGGGGCCTCCTGCAGGTGGCACGGAGGCGACCGCCCATGGTGGGGCATCGGCGGCGGCGGAGGCCACGGCCGCGGCTGGGGCATCGGCAGCTGGCGCGACAATGCCCGTGGCGGCGGCGGCGGGTGGCTCTGCGGCTGCTACGACTGGCGAGGTACGACAGGTGGAGGAGTTCGAGCTGTCGCCGACGTCGCCAGCGAACTCGCAGGTGGCAGCGGAGCAGGCGCTGCGCCTCAGGACGGCGATGGGGGCGGCGCACCCCACGTGCGAGCTGCCTTCGCTGCCGCTCCCGCGCCCGCGGGCTCCGGAGGCCAACGCGCCCAATGCCAGGGCGAACAAGTGCCAGTGCGTGGACAACGAGCTGGAGGGCGGCCGCTAGGGGTGAGCCGCCGCTCTGTAGGCTCAGGGGAGCCCCAGCCTATACATCAATTTTCAGGGATGTTTACCCTCGGTTTCTGTTGTCACTGCTCTTTCTGCTACCCCTCGTATGCTGGGCCTGGCCAGGGATTTGGAGCCGGGGTCCCAATACTTTCCCCCCTCGTTTCCTCGGAGGTCCTTGTCCCCCCCCCCCCCCACGCGTGGAAAATACGAGGGGTAGGCGCGCCGTGGCTTGCCAGGCCGCGGAAGCCACAAGTACTGTAGATCTCACCGAGGGCCCCCCCAGCCACCTTTTCCAAGGGGCTGTGTGCCCACTCGCAAGCAAGGTCGTTCGATTTGATTGTAAGCCTGAGGTTAGGGAGTATAACCCAGCAGCTGATTATAGCGTTTCAAGCGTTACCGAATTAGAGCAATGCCTTAGAGCCAGCAAGCCTAAGGATTGCAGCAACGTTGCATTTAACTTTATTGGGCCACAGCCTGTCAGTCCAAGTCTAGCTCCTAAGCCTGCCATTGCCTCGACCGAGGGGGGCTCCCGAGGGTCTGGTGGAGGATTGGGGCAGATCAAGGTGGGTGTCTGGGACGATGGCACGCTTCTTGACACCATCTTAGACTCTCTCGGGTTCGATCTGGCTCATGATATCCCCCATGATCTTGAGCCGCCTGCCCGGTATGCTCTTGATAACGTGCCTCTGGCTGTGATTCAGGGGGGGAGTCTGTCTTCTGTGCGCATCTACACCGATGGTTCGCTCTTTCAGAAACAGGGCCGAGCCGCCTGGGCCTTTTGCGTCGTTGGGAAGTGCGATGCTGGTCTCTCGTACTTGGGGGGAGCCTGGGGGTGCCTCCAAGATGCCAATTCTATGGGGCTTGCCGTCGAGCATGCCCCCAGCACGACGCTCGAGTTGATGGCCATCGTCTGGGCCGCCATCTGGGCTCCCCCCCTGCCCTCGCACCTCGTCGTCACGCTGGAGTCCGACTCGAAAAGTGCTCTCGACGGGGCGCAGCTCCTGTCGTCGCCCAAAAAAGATCTCGGGCTCGTCGCTCTCGCGTCTGCTCTGTGGGAGCTGGTTGGTCAAAAGTTTGCTTTCTCGGGTGGGCATGTCAAAGCCCACTGCCACCATCCTTGGAATACGATGGCGGACAACCTCGCCAAGAGTGCCGCTCTTGGCCACCCCCCCCCCCCCCCTATTCCCTTCCCCAGCGAGCTTGTGCAAGCTGTTTGCTGCAAGGATTCCACCAGTTGGGAATGGCTGGTGGGGGCCACGAGGGACAGCCATGCCTACCCACCCCTGGTCGATGGGGCCTTTGTCTCCCCCCCTCGTTGCTCGGGTGGACAGTGTCGAGGGAGCGGCGCCTGTCGCCGTCAAAGGGGAGGCCCGCGTTAGCATTCGCCTTGCTCAGTTCAACGTTCAGAGCTTCCGAGAGGACCATAGGAAGGGCACTCAGGGGGTTCAGAGGCTCAACCGTCTGGAAGTGCTCAAGGCTCAGTTCATTGATGAACAATTCTCCATCATGGGGCTGCAAGAAGCTCGAAACGAGCAGGGTCTGCGCATTGTTGGCGACAACCAGTTTTTAGTGATATCGAGCGGGCATCTCGATTTCAATCTAGGCGTCGAACTCTGGCTCGACCTCAGCAGGCCGTACGCCACCAGGGGTGACCGTGAATTCAGGTTCAGTCGCGACCATTGCCGTGTTGTGTACCAGGGCCCCAGGACGCTTCTGGTTCGCATTTCTGCCCCTCACTTCTGTCACACTGTGCTGGTGGGTCACGCCCCCCACTCCAGGGCCAAGGAGGGGGAGGAGGATGCCCTCTGGGATCAGCTCGGCAGGTTGACCTCTCATCACTCGGTCTCCCTGGGCTTCCTGGACGCCAACGGGCGGACCAGCTCTGTTATCGCCCCCCTGGATTGGCAACGCCGCGGGGTCCCAGGATGAGGATGATAACGGCAGGTCGCTGCACAAGTGGCTTGCTGGAGCGAGGCTGCGCGCTCTTCATGCCCTTCGCCACGACCCCTACGCCACCACGTGGGTGAGCCGATCGGGGCAGGGGCACCAGATTGATTACATTCTTGTGTCTGAGCAGCTGCTTGCCACTATGTATGATGTAAGAGGGGTTGTTGACATCGATCATGCCAGAGAGCATGATGATCACCTTCTCATTGCTGCGCGAGGCGCGTGGCAGGGCACGGGGAGCTCTAGGGTGCAGGGTCTCCAGCCGCGTCTTGATCGCGTTAGGCTGAGTAGCCCTGAGTGCGGGGTTCGGTTTAGGGCCCAGTCGAGCAGCATGCCTCTCCCCAGCTAGGACACGGAAATCAGCCAGCATCTCAACGATGCCAATGAGGCTGTGTGGGCCGCGGCCAGGGACTGCTTTGCCAGGGATAAGCAGGGGGCGCGCAAGCCTTATCTCTCCCCCAGCACGCTCTCGCTTGTCAGAGTCCGTCGTGCCATCCGTCGTGTCTTGCACCTTGTCAAAATGGAAGGGAAGGGTCAGGCTGCTGTTTCTGCCCTGCCTGCCGTTGCTGTTGCTTCCCCTTCCCCCCCTCCTTGTGGCGATGATGAAACGCTGCCCTGCACAGGGCAGTGCCCCAATGGTGAGCAGCAGGGCGTACTGGCCTCAGACCAGTTGGGGGCGCCCACTGGCTCAGGGGCTCATGAACCACCCTCGCGCGCGAGCCGCCGTCGCCGCCGACGCCCGCCGTCGCCTGCCGCTGATCGCTGGTCCAAAGCTACCGCTGAGGTCGCTCCGCCCGATAGGGAGCCTGGGTGGGTTGGTGCTGCCTTCTCTCTTGCGCAGAAGCTCAGGAAGGGGGAGCTCCGCGAGCTTGTTGACAGGGAAGGTAAGGGGAGCTGGTTGCCCCTCTTTCGAGCCCTGGTACAGGGGGCCTCGGATTTCTCGTGGAAGCGTGTTAATGAGCACGAGCGGCTTCTTCACCTCACCTCTTTCCTCTCTGCCTCCACTCCCCTGCTGCATGACGCTGTGCACTATGAATATGCGAGCTTTCTTCAGGCCAAGGCCAGCAGCATCAGCGCGTCTATTGATGGTAAGCTCCCCAGTCGTGCGTGGCGGGAGCTCGGGGCCCTCCTTCGGTGTGCGGGCAAAAAGAAGAAGAAGCCCCTCTTGTCGCCCATGCGGCTGGACGCGGCTGGAAACCCTCTCCTCACCGCCGCTGAAGACGCCAATGAGCTGCAGGCTCACTTTGCTGCGCACGAGCAGGGGCGACATGTGGGAGCTGATGTTCTCTACTCCGAGTGCAACAACCAGGGGCCCGATCCTACTTCCAATATCGATCTGTGTATCAGGAATGTTATGCCCAAGGCTAAGCCCACCACGGCTATGCGCACTGTGTCCACCAATCGCGCGCCAGGCCCTGATGGGCTCCAGGGGGGGTTTGTTTGCTGCGGCCCCGTGGGAGATGAGCAGAATTTACCACCCTCTTATGGTCAAGACCAGCCTCGGCTTGCGAGAACCTGCCAGCTGGAAGTGTGGGTTTATTGCTGCCTTTTACAAAGGCAAAGGTGATGCTAGGTATGCCAAGGCGCAGAGGAGTGTGCACTTGTGTAATCTGCTTGTTCAGTTCCATCACAGTTTCGTTCGGCAAAGGGCTTGGGACCATGTTGCTCGCTGTCTTGTCGTCTCCCAATGCGGTGGGCTCCCCGGCAAAGGGACTGACTTCGCCAGCCATCAAGTCAGGGCCTTGATGGACGCTATGCATCTCAGTCGTATCTCTTCCTTTGTTGTGCTCGTGGATCTCGTGGCCGCGTTCTATCGTGTGATAAAACAATTCGTGGTGAGCCTGCCCCACGACGAGGATGATCTCCACGCCGCTCTCAGCGATGCCGAGCTTCCGCCCGCTGTGCTCTCTTCGGTCCTGGGCCATCTCCAGAGCACTCCGATCCTCGAGAGGGAGATCGATGACCGACAGTTGGTCGCCTTGCTGCGCGAGACTCAGCAGGGGGGCTGGTGGTCCATCAAAGGTGCTGAGGGATATGTCAAGCCAGTTCGGGGGACTGGACCTGGCAAGATTGGGGCGACGGATTTCTTCAATGTCTCCTTCTCGCCTCTCATCGCTCGCATCGAGGATCGGTTGCAGCAGGAAGAAGTTACTTGGCAGCCCTCCCCCCCGCAACAAGACAGTGAGCGCCTTTTCAGCGTCCCCGGTGATTGGGAGCAGCAGCACTCCACTGTTTCTTTTGTCGATGATTTGTCCATTGTGGGAGGGAGCTGTACGCCTGACACTATCGAGGATGCCGTGGCCAGAACCATCGATATCCTGTTTCAAGAGGGGAGATCTTACGGATTCGATGTCAATTGCGAGAAAACTGTGATCCTGTTGAGATTTGCTGGGGATGGCAATCGACACGTGCGTTCCGAGTTCTTTCTTAGGGAGGCCCTGCAGATTCGGGGCAAAGCTAGCGATGTGGTCGTTCCGGTTGTCAGGGTGCATAAGATCCTTGGGAGCATGCTCATGGACTCTGGGGCTATGTGTGCTGAGATCGCTTATCTTTGCTCCACTGTTGCGCCCGAGTTCAGGCATATTGCTAGGGTTGCGCGCAATCGCAGTCTTCCCAAGCCCTTCGTTCGTCAGGTGGGTGAAGCCTTTCTGGGAAGCAAGCTGTTGTTCAACGCTGCCACGTGGGGGCCGCTCTCTGGGAAACTCTGGCAGCGTGTGAAGGGGCAGCATGCGAAGATATACCGTGCTTGTCTGGGGCTCGCGCTGGCCAACCACCCGGATGAGCATGTCACTTCTGGGCACGTGCTTCATGAGTGCGATCGGTGCACCCTCAGTGTTGTGCTCTCGGTTGCCCGTCTGCGTTACTGTGTGCGCGTGCTCAAGAGTGCCCCACCCATGCTCCGCGTGGCGCTTGATCTGCTGCTGCCGTCTGCTCAGTCCTGGACCGCCCTGGTCACCTGGGATCTGAAGTGGCTCACTGATTTCTCCTTGAAGGGAGAAGTCCCAGGAACTGGCTCCCCTCAGGACTGGTTCCAGGTCATGCGTTCTGCGCCTCGCCCCTTCCTCACTCACCTTAAAAATGCTGCCGTGCGTGACAAGTTTCACCAGAGCGAAGCCTATCTGACTCTCCAGCTCGACAGACAGCTCTGTGAATTGAACAATGGTACTATCCTTGAGATGTGTGAGTCTCGTGAGCGCCCTGCTCAGGGAACTTTCTTTTGCTACGAGCGCGGCTGGTCTTGTAAGTCCAGGAGGGCCCTGGCGGTGCACACAGGCAAGTACCACAAAAGAAGCCATAGTGTTCTCTCCTGGTGTGTCGGCACGGTGTGCCAAGTGTGCCTCACTCAGTTCCATGCCCCTGGGCGCCTCGTTAAGCACCTTGCCCGCACTGCGGGCTGTTGTCTTGCGTGGCAGGAGTGGGGCACCAAGCCGGGGCGTGATGAACTTAGTTTTTGGAGGGCCCTGGATCTTGCCACCCAGAAGAATAATCGTGCTGCCTGCCTGCACGAGCACTTTGCGGAACGGCCCTCCGTGCGGCTCCAGGGCCCCCCTATTGCCCCCAAGTCCCAGGACACTTTTACTCCTCTGGTCTCCCAGGATCCCATCCTCATGCCTAGCACGAATGAGGGCAGCAGCGATCAGGGCCTTGCTCGTGCCTCCGTTCCCCCTTCTCCTTCGTCTCCTGATTGCAAGTTCGTGCTCCACCTCTTCTCTGGCCAGCGCAGGGAAGGGGATGTTCAGCAGTTTGTCGACGACACTGCTCATAGGGAGGGGTTTCGTGTAGTCACCCTTTCTCTGGACGTGGTGAACGACGCCCACTTGGGTGATCTCACCAAAGCCGAGGTTGTTTTTTTTTGGTTTCGCATGCTTCGCGAAGGGGAAATCTCTGGGCTCCTGGCGGGGCCCCCTTGCGAGACGTGGTCCAGTGCTCGCTTCAATAACTTGCCTGACCACCCTCGTCAGCCACGGCCGGTTCGCTCGATTGAACTGCCCTGGGGGATCAAAGCTCTCAAGCCCCGCGAGCAGGATCAGGTCAGGCTTGGGAACGCCCTTCTCCGCACCACCATCCACTTCTTACATGAAGCCTTTCATGCGTCTGTGCCCGCTCTCATGGAGCACCCTAGTAAGAGCACCCATCGTCCCTTGGCCCCCTCCTCTTGGGAACTCAAGCAGTTGAAGATCTTGCTTAGCAGCAGTTACGCACAGAGCACTGATATCCATCAATGTATGTACGGCGCCAGGTACAAAAAGAGAACGACCTTGCTTGCTGTCTGCTGCCCCTCTCTTCGGAGGCTTGTCCAGGCCTCTCGCGGTGCTGGTTTGTGCGATGGGTCGCACCAGCACGAAATTCTGCAAGGCACCGAGTTTGACGGCGCCTGGTGCACCTCGAAGGCAAAAACTTATCCCCCCCGCCTCTGTCACCTTCTTGCTGCCAGCCTCTTCGAGGAAATCCGCCTTAGGGGCGGGCATGTGCGTGGGGAGGGGGAGGGTTGGGATATTCTTAACACTGTGGCCCATTTTCATGTTCCACTCGACCCCTACCTCCAACGTGAGAGGGGGGATGACTGTATGCTCAGGAATAAGAGATGCCTGCTCTAGTCCTCTTTCCCTTTCGCTCCTTCTCTCCCCTTCTGTTCTCCTGAATCGGCAGCGAACTCTCCATTGCCGACACGAGCCGAGCCGAGCCGAGGAGGAGGAGGAGGAGGAGGAGGAGGAGGAGGAGGGGGAGGAGGAGGAGGAGGAGGAAGAAAAGGAGGAGGAGGAGGAGGAGGAGGAGGAGGAGGAGGAGGAGGAGGATGTGTGTGCTTGCACGGGAAGGTGAAGGGTATTCTCTCTATGTTGCCACAATCTATGCTCAAGCCTTTTTCCTTCTCTCGTCAGAGGCGCCCATGGGGCCTGCCGCCGACAGGTCCCCGCTCGCGGTCCTCGCGGTGGCTGTCGCCTGGGCTAGGTGGCGCGCGGTCGAGGTCGGCTTGCTGCCCGAGGGGCTGCCAGGGTTCGGCCCACCACCACCTCCGCCGCCGCCGCCTGGGCCCGCGCTGGCGCCCGAGGGCTGGGGCGCGAAGGGCGCGCCGGCCTGACTGGAGGCGGTCGGCCCGGCGGTGCCGCAGTGCCCGCCCTGCCCCTCCTGCTCGTGTCAGCAGGCGGAGTTCCAGGGGCCGACTCCGACCGAGCAGGCCGTGTTGTTGCTGGTGCCGCCTGTGCTCACCAATTTCCTCGGCTGCTTGGCGTGCCGCTGGTGCATGCGAGGCCGTTCCGCTGCGGGACGAAATGGCGCTCCTCCCGTTCGGCGAGGAGGAGGAAAAGTACAGTGACCTGGCCCCGGGCCAGTACGTGGCCAAGGAATGCGAGGGGGACGACGTGGATCATGAGCGGATCCTCCTGTATCCGTTGGGCGGTAGGGTGTGGTGGATTCGCACTCTTGATGGCGATGAGTACTTCCAGGACGTGGCTTGCCAGGACGCTAGCGACGGCCCCGTGCGATGCCGTCTGCTGCCGGCCGATGGCTCGCTGCCACCTGGCGGTCGCGGGCGACGTCGGCGGCAGCTCTGCTGCTTCGCCGAGCGGGTCGGTGCCTCGGAGCTGCGTGAGGGCATCCAGCGAGGGCGTCGCGCCTGTGAGGCGGAGTGCCGGCCTGGCCAGCGGCCGATCGTGCCCGAGCGGGTGCAGGAACCTGGCGGTGAGCTGATGCCGATCGCGCGCTTCGGAGGAGGTAGCTTCCCGCCTGTGCCTGGCGTGCGGCTACGGGGCAAGAAGCCGTTGACGGCCGCGCTGGTGGGCCTGCCCAGGCCTTCGGAGGCGGTCGGAGGCACTGCCACCCCCGTGCCCGAGGAGGAGGATGAGCCTGCTGCTGCACCACTGCCTTTGTTGTCTGGACACGCGTGGGTGCTGGTGGAGCCGACGGCCTCCTCGGCCATCGGCAGTGAAGTGGACATCCGCAAGGCTCCGTTCGTTGCGGCGTCGGAGTCGGCGGGTCTCGTCCTCCTGGAAAGAAACCACGCCCGAGTGATTCGTCTGCAGGTCGGGGACGTGCCCGCGTACGCCGACTCGCGGGCCACCGAGCTCCGCCGGCGACTTGGCACGGGCCACGAGGACGCGGAGGTCGATCTGCGTGAGCGGATTGGCCGACCGCCCCTGCCTCCGCCCGGGGGGCCGCCTCCGGCCGAGGAGGCGCGCTCGCCGATCAGGAGCGAGGACGTCAGGCTGCTGGCCGTGGACTTCGACGGCCAGGGCGAGCACTTCAAGCCCTGGCGCGGGGCAGTCCACGAGAGCACCCAGGAAGATTTCAGCGACCAGCCGGTGGATGCCCCTCCGAGCGTGCTCACCACGTGCAGAGCATGCTGAGGGTGGGCGGTGATCCGCGCTTGTGGCCCAGAGAGTACCTCCGTGAGAAGGGGCTCTCTAGCGCGGGCCGCGTAGCCCATGGGCTTCGCTGCTTCTGCGAGGCTTTGTACATGGCGGGCTGCTATGACCAGGTGAACCTGGGCGGGCTGATGGCACTGGAGGAACTCTGCAAGCGGCTCGCAGGCATCGTGGCCGCGCGCGCCAACCCGCAGCGGGTGCAGGGGGAGGTGGCGAAGTGCAGCACCGGCGCGCAGTCGGCCGAGGACGTGGCGGGCCCGGTGCTGCTGGCTGGGGCGCGAGATGCACGAGGCGCGCGAAGGCCAGCAGGCGCTGCGAGGCGCCCCCACCGGAGCCCAGGAGGACGGCTTTGGCGGCGGCGGGGGCGGCGGCCGCGGCGGCGGCGGCAAGGGAGGCAAAGCGGGCGCGGGCGGTCGGGGACATGGCGACGGCGGTCGGGGCCGCGGTCGCGGCGCCGGCGCCCCCGGGGCCACATGATGGGCCCGCCGGCCAGGGGGCCCCCCGACCTTGGTCGGCCTCATGGGGGCTGGTGGCCGCCCCAGACTGGCGGCCTCGCGAGGACAGCGAGGCCTGTTCGCGTTCCCGCTGTTGCCGCTGGATTAGTTATGTGCGCCCCGGGCGCGGCCGAGGTCGCCTAGACATGGTGAGCGACGCGCTGGAGGCACTGAACTGGATGGCGGGCGGCGAGGTATTTTCTGGGCCGATCGCGGCTCTGACGTCCTGCCCGATGACATGCAGGCAGACGTCCAGCGGGGGGTGCGCGAGTTGGCAGACAGCTGGCGCCCGCGCCCTTCGCAGCTCAGCGACGAGGCGGCTCTCAAGACGCTGCTTCAAGGACACCCCCCGCATCGGGCGGCGGGCTGTCCGACAAGGGTCGCGCCCTTCAAGCTCGACCTTGTCAGCCTCCCTGGCTCGGTGCGAGGGTGTCCGCTGATCACTGACGTGGCGCCTTCTGAGGTCATCGGATTTCTGGGGGGCTATCATGGGCGCATGCTAGCGCCGCCAGTCGATAAGTATGAGACAGTTCCCTACTCTGACCCCAAGTTGAGGTTCAATCAGAAGGAGTATCATCGGCTTCTCCGTCGTCTGGTGGACATCGGCATCACATCGTGGACGCCCACTCCGAAGTGCCAGGTGGGTCTCTTCACAGTGGAGAAGGGCGGCGGCGCAGCTCAGAGGCTCATCGTCGACGCCAGGCGGGCCAACGAGTGCTTCCTGGCTCCGCCAGGCGTCTCGCTCATGAGCTCGGTTGGTCTTTCTCGCATAGAGACAGAGCGCCCGCGGGCGCGCCGCTGGGTTCCGAGCGCGCCGCCGAGCTGCTGGGCGACTTCTACCTGTCGATCGGGCTCTCGGACGTCTAGAACTGCTTCCACTGGCTACGCGCGCCGGCGTGGCTGTCTGACTATTTCTGCCCCCCCGGCGCCGGCCCGCGCGATGGGAGCGACGGGCGTGGAGGTGAATTGGCGCCCGCTCGGCCGCGCGGAGGCAGTGGCGCCGCGCTGGGCCCCCCTGCCCATGGGCTTCGCGTGGGGCCTGTGGATCGCCCAGAGGATCAACGAGGTCACTGTGATCAAGGCGTCGCCGTCTTTGCCTGGAGCCCCCCTACATGATCGCGGGCCGCCGTTGGTGGTGGGGCCGGCTCGGGCCGAGGAGAAGACCAGGCTCGGGCACTACGCATGCGCGGGCAATCTCGGGGTGGTCGGGGTCTGCGAGCAGGCGGTCGGCGAGGCGCTCGAGCAGTTAGAGGAGGGCTTCGACCGCGAGGGCCTGCTGCTGCACAAGTCCGAGCTCTCACGCGCTGACATCGTCGCGCTGGGCGCGGAGCTGGACGGGGCCGCCCTGCGGGCGCGGGTCACGCCCGAGCGCTTCTGGAGCATCCATGGGGCGCTGGGGGCGCTGCTGCGGCGCCGGCGGGCTGGTGCCCGGTCGCTGGAGGTCGCCTTCGGCCACTGCGCGTTCGCCGCCCTGTGCTGCCGCGGGCTGCTCAGCATCTTCCACTCGGTCTACGCGTTCGTAGAGCGAGGGCGCGCCTCGGGCCGGGTGGGGCCGCTGCGGGGCGAGTGCTGCGCGGAGCTGCGCGTCTTCAGGTCGCCCATGGTCTTCGTGATGAGCGACTGGCTGCGCGGCTAGAACGAGCTGGGTGCGCAGACCGACAGCAGCCTCGAGGGCTGCGCCGTGGCGCAGGCGCTCTGGCCCTTGCAGGCCGCGAGAGAGGTGGGCCGCGCTTCCGAGCGCCAGCGCTTCCGCCGCGTTGGCTCCCATCGAGCCCGAGGGGGTGCCCTCGGGTTTGCGGGCTTCAATCGGCAGGCGGGCGGCAGCTGGTCAGTTGCGGCCGCCGCGGAGGGCGACGAGGATGAACCTTTCTCGGATGTGGCGCCAGACTGGGAGGTCGACCGATCCTTCCCTGAGGTGCCCGCCAGTCTTTTGAAGTCAGAACTCTGGCGTCTGGTGAGAGTGCAAAAGTGGGAGCGGCCTGAGAGTATTCTTGTCAAAGAAGCCCGAGATTTATAGTCAAGGATTTCATCCGTGTTGCAACGACTTCGCGCGTCTGTGACATGGGGCAGCTTCTCCTTTGCGACAGCGTAGCGGCCGCCCTCGCCTTTGGTAGGAGTCGAGCCAACAATGTTTTGCTTCTCGTCCAGATTCGGGCTTTTCAGGCCCATTGTCTGGCCAGGAATGTTTTAGGGGCTGTGCGTTGGATTCCCTCTGAGCTGGACTTCCCGGATAAGGGTGCTAGGGTCTTCGAGAACAGCAGTGCCAGTGAGACTTTAGTCGATGATATCCCTTCTGTGAGCGTCAGAGACAACAGTTTAAAGGAGACTTGTGAATGCCCGCGATCCCCGAGCCGATGTAATCTAGATGCCTCTGCCACTGCTGTCCCCCGCTCCATGTGCGTGGACATTTCGTCTCAAGATTCACCGCGTTCCTTTCGTGTCCATTCAGATTTCACGCGCCCCAGTTGCGATGGCAGCCGGCAAGAGGCAGGCGGGGCTGCCTCCGTCGGAGCCTCGGCCGAGCAAGATCCAGCGTGGCCACGGGTCTCTGGCCAGCAAGAGGAGGGCGACCCTGCGGCCCCAGGACTTCCAGCTAGCCCTGCGCGAAAGGCCGGCTTGCAGCCGCCAGGAGTTGTGCCTTCCCGAGAGCGAGGAGCTGCTGAGGCGCGAGCCCGAGCTGGCCGACGTCGGCGAGAGCAGCCGCGCCGACGACGAGGAGAGGCCGGGGCCCGGGGCCGGGCCACCAGAGGAGGCGCAAGTTTCTGGACGTTGCCCTCGCAGCCGCCGCGATCGGAGCCAGCAGCTTCCTCGAGGAGAGCTCGGTGACGCCGAAGGTGCTGGGGCGATGCCAGGCCGAGGTGGCCGGCTTCGCGGACTTCGCCGAGGGCCGCCCGCTGGCGCGCGACGAGCAGGTCGACGGTGCGCCGGGGGACTGCTCCAACTTCCTGCTCTTCAAGGGCTGGGGCGCAAACAAGGGCCAGCATACTCTGATTGGTTTGATGTGTCTGGCTCCAGAGTTCTCGCGGGCTGGCCACCGCCAGCTCCCCCGGGCCTTCCGCTGCCTGAAGGGCTGGCGGCGCCGAGCCCCGAGTCGCAGCAGGCGGAGCTAGCCGCTGGCCTTGCGGGCTGGAGTGGCCTGGGGGCTGACAGAGCGCGGCGTCTTGCAGATGGTGGTCTTCCTCTTGGTCTCGCCCATCAGCTACTTGAGACCGAACAAGTTGATGGGTCTCAAGTGCCGTGGTATCATTGCTCCTGCGGGTGGGGTGTCCCAGTTCTGGAGCCTGTTGCTCTTCCCCATCGGAGCGGGGCGAGCGGGGCAAGACCGACCTCAGCGACGTCAGCATCGCGATGGATTTGCCGCACCTCCAGTTCTTGGGGCCCGTCTTGAAGGTGCTGGCCAGCGGGCCCAGGGAGGGTGCGGTGTGGACATTCACGTGTCCGCAGTACCTTCAGGAGTTCAAGACCTCCCTGGTCGAGCTCGGGATCACTGAGGTCACCGTGCCGTGCCAGACGCGGCACTCGGGCCCGTCGATCGAAATCGCACGTCGGTGCCGGACGATGTCGGAGGCGCAGCGTCGAGGCCAATAGGCGAGCGCGAAGAGCGTCCAGCGGTGCGAGAAGGGAGCTCGACTGGGAGAGAGTTGGGAGTTGCTTCCCGCCAGCCCGCGCCGACGGCTTAAGGCCTGCGAAGGAGCGCTCGAGGACGTGCTCCTGGGCCGGCCGCGCGGCGTGGCGCCCCCCTTGCGGGGCACTTCAGAGGTCGCTGCGTCCTCGACCTCTTCTCAGGCACCGGAAGTGTCGCGCGGGCAGCGATCCAGCAGGGTTGCAACGCTCGCGCGTGCGATCGGGCCCGCGGGCCCGAAGAGGACCTGACGGACCCGAAGGTGCTGGGCCGTCTGGCCGCGTCGATCAGGCGCAGAGAGGTGCTGGGAGCGGTGATTGGCCCTCCGTGTGGTGCCTGTGGAGGGGCCGCGGACCGCGGACGCGATGGCCCCGTTCGCTCGACGATGATGCCGTGGGGACTACCCGAGGCGTCGCTCACGCTGCGGCAGTGTGAGGGGTTAAGGCGCGGTAACAGAGTCTTTCGCTGTGCTTTGCAGTTGCTTCGTGTGCTATGCCGCTGCTCCGTCCCTACCATGTACGAGCATCCCGTCAATTCTAGGATTTGGCATACTCCCGAGCTCCTAGAGGCCACCCGCGTGCTTGGGGGCCACGCTCGAGTCTTTGACGCAAGCGCAAGCGCACCAAGCTTGCTTTCTCTTTATAGACACAGCAGACACAATAAAGTTTAACTGTAGGTGCAAAGGTAGCGCAGGTGCATGCAGCCGTACGAGTCGGTAACATTGCATATTGGAGGGGGCCACCCCGTCCGGTGTAAGGTGGACAGCCACTGCAGCTTCTTACCCTCCGATATTGTTTAAGGCCATGGTCCTGACGTTGTTGTTCGCCCCATGAGCGTGATCGCATTGCCTCTCTAGCTTTTGGCTGGCGCCGGCCTTCTGCCCCGCCGAGCTTGCGTGTCTTTTTCTCTTGTTACTGCCCTGTCCCGCCCGTCCCTGGGAACCGCTGGGCTTGGGTCGCCCTTCTCGGGTTTGGGATGTCTTGAGCGAGAGCCTCATGCGTCTCAGGCTCTCGCCGTTTGCTGTGCTCCGATCGACTGGCGTCGAGTTCGCGTCGACGCGTGGCACGTTGTAGCAGAAGATACAACAACACCTGTGTGTGCTTGCGCGGGAAGGCGACCTCCTGTCGCCATAATCTATGCTCGAGCCCCTTTCCTCCCCTCGCCCCCCTGCCCTTGCCCGTCTCATTTAAGATGTCTTGAGCGAGAGCCTCATGCGTCTCAGGCTCTCGCCGTTTGCTGTGCTCCGATCGACTGGCGTCGAGTTCGCGTCGACGCGTGGCACCTTGTAGCAGAAACTGCTCCCGCGAGAAAAGTCAACAGTACCTAGGACAACAAACGAATGTAGGAGTCATTCTAATTATACGAATATTATGAATTTCGCGACATAGTACTAATACCACCGTGGCATACTACAAAACAGTAGCAACACGAACAATAACACCATTACTATCAACAGAACGTGGTAATATCAAAAAAGCCAGGATTCGCTATACAAACAGAAATAAACGTAACTGGCAACAATAAGAGGCGGATGAGTAGGAGGAGGAGGAGGAGGAGGAGGAGGAGGAGGAGGAGGAGGAGGAGGAGGAGGAGGAGGAGGAGGAGGAGGAGGAGGGTGGCGAAGAGGGGGACCCGCTTCTCGTTTTCTTCGACCTGCGCCTGCGAGTTTCTAATTCCGTTGTCGCCGCCTCCGCTCGCGGGGGTGCGAGCGGAACTTTCCAGCGCAGGAGTGACTGCCCATCGCTTCGGCGCAGGTAGCACCAGTATGCGTAATGACGTGCAAGGCTGGCGTTCCGTCCCATGCGAGGATATGCGATACGCAATACAAGCGTGCCATTGCCGGCAGATCAGGGGCCTCTGCGACAGCCTTGGCCAGCAGCACAGACGTGGCTCTTCATGCTTGCACTGCTGTTTGCTCGGCCCTCCTTGCCCACCCTGGGCTGCGGTCGGTTCGGAGTGGGCCTGCAAAGGTTTTTGCATCCCGCCCACCCCGTCTCCCCTGTCATGCAGCGTGCGCCCTGCGCTGACCGCCGCTGGTGTTGGCCCGCCCTTGCTGTGCAGGAGCACCCCTGTCGGTGAACTGCACCCCGCCTCTTGCTTGCCTCCTCGTCTCTGGCCCCCGTCGCTGCGGGCCGTAGGGTCCAGGGGCCCTGCAACCCTGCACCCTGCATCCCCCTCTTGGGAGTTCTTGGGGCTCTTTCTTGGGGCTCTCTTGGGCTCCTGTTGGGGTTCTTTTGGGCCATCTTGGGGCCACCTTGAGGTCTTAAAAATTCCATCGGAAACGAAAAGGTGAGAAAGCAACACCACAATGATTTGTTTTAAGGTTTTTGAAGGATGTGGGTTTCTTGGAGGTGCTTGGTCAAGTTTCCGTCTCGGAGGGCGCACACTCTGCCTACACCAGTTTTGGCGGGGTCCAACCTGGGCCCAGAATGGGCCCGACCAGGTTCGGTGGAGGTGCATACAGCCAAGACGTCGACATACGGGCCATTTGGGGGTTTTTGGGCAGTTCACTAGGTCGGCGTGCGGCGTCAACCCAACATGCGAATAGTACGTGTGCGTCGTTCCTTCTCCCAGGGGCGACGCGTGCATCCTATAGCTTCTTGTATTTGCGTCGTGGCGGGCGCTTTCTGGCCACACCGCTCGGGAAACGATCTACTACAAGGCGGTTGTACTATATAGTCGGGCCGGATGAACGCCTCCAAGGAGGACATTTGCAGTACTAGTATGCCTTTGTGCGTCCCAAGATAGATCCAGATCTGGGAACCTGTCTTGGCCGAGGCCCGCCGTCACGAAGAGAGCCCTTTCGTTACTTCTTTGGCGCTCCTTCGGGTGTCACGGCGACTACAAGTCGGCATCCTCTGGCAGTCCGCCCTCCTGGCCCCGTCGGGCGTCGCGCAATGCGGGGGGTGGGGGGCCGCGGGGGCCGCAGAAGAGGGGCCCTCGAGGGCCCCAAAGGGGGACGGGGGCCCGAAGAGGGCGCCTTCCTTCCCCGCTCGGGAGTTCCCGAACGAAGTGAACCCCACCCTCCCCCTCAGAAATCGTGGGGGGTAGGGGTAGGGTTCGCATGTGGCATCCTAGGGGTGCACACGCCGGTCATTGAGAGCAGGTATTGCTCGGGCGGGGCCAGGACGAGGATAAGTCCGTCCTGGAGCGTTCCGGAACGCTCTCTCCCCGATGCATCCTCCAGAGCCGCCGGAGCTCGGAGAGTCTCGATTTTTGTCCTCACCCGAGTGTATCCTCGTCCTGGTTTCGTCTTAATCTCTTGATTCCCAGAGCCCAATCTACTTCAAGCGCCGTCCTACTTCAAGAATCGAGCGGTTTTCCCTCGTCCCTTCGCTTCAGGGGGATGGGCGGAAGCCCAATATACTTTCAGCGCCTTTCTACCTCATGCTTCTACGTACTTCTTCCGACCGACGGGTAACCGTACACTGGGCACGCCAAAATCAGCCTGTTGGCGGCTGCCCGCAGAAATTTCTTGACCCCCAGTGGCCCCGGGCGGCACCTCAGGAGGCTCAGATCTCTACGACGAACGTGCACCAGTATTTCCTGGAGTCGGCCACGCGCCGAGGGGGGTAGGGGGAGGGGGGAAGGCTTCTTATAAACACCCCTGCCTCTTAGAAGGTGCGGGCCTTCTCTGTAGGACCGGCGCCTAAGAAACAGCCTCCTTCTAAGAAGCCTTCCCCCCTCCCCTGCCCCCTTTATGCGCGCCGCGAAAGATGTCTTATCGCCTGTGTGTGCTGTATGCCAGTCGCAGGGGCGCGACGATGACCTCGCTTCGCGGTCCTGGGCGTGGGAGTCGTGCTCCTCCGCGGGGGCGCGGAGGCGGAGCGAGAGCGCGATTCGCGCGGCTGCCTTCGCCGAAGGCAGTCGCGCTCTGCGCATCGCGGAGCGCCCAGCGCGAGGTCACGGTCAGCAAGTTTGGCTTAGCGTGTCGCTCCGCTGGTTCTTGGCCACCGCGTTTCGGCGCGACACGCTGTCCACTTCCCAATCTCTGACCGTCAACGTCCCGCGCCTTTTGAAGCCTCCAGCCCCGCGGAGCGGAGCGACGCGCCATCCGCGTGCAAGCCATGGCGTGTTGTCTGGGCCGCCGCCGCGACACGCTCAGCAAACGTTCCCGACCGTAGGCTGCTGATTGGTGGGTTCGTCATCGCCGTGCAGGCCATCAGGCCATCTCACGACGCAGCCGAATCGGCAATCATGAACGGATGTCCTCGCGGAGGAGACAAGCAGAGTGATGGATGGCTTGGTGTTGCTGACTGCCGCCCTACGGCTCCACGGTTCGGCTCGAAGCCCACGCTTTCTTCTCTAAGTCCGTTCGCCTTGCCCCCTTTTGCCAAGGCAGGGCTGATATGTGCGTCACGGGGGGTGTACTTGGAAGAGTCATAATGAGATTTATGTCGCCCCGCTTCGCGCGGTGCAGGAAGTGCGTGAGGTCATCAGGGAGGTTCCGAAGATCCAGGTGCAGACGGTCGAGAAGGAACTGCACGTGGTGTTTTCTTGTTCGTCCTTATGCGAACGCATGTATGTGTGCATGCTAGAGCGTCACCGGTGTGCTCGCACAAGCCGTTCAATACATGGTGTCAGTGGTGCACGATGCACGGCGGTCAGGCGTGCGATCTCGTATGCTGAAGCATGTGTCAATGTGTGTGGGTGTGGATGTGTGGTTGTCCGCTGGGTGCAATTCTCTTGATCGCACAGGTTGGAAACGAAATGCTCCACTTTCCGCATGGAAGCATTTGAGTACACATCATATCAACGGCAACTCACATCAGTCACACCCGGCGCTGCACGCACGTCGCGCCGACGTGCGTGCAGCGCCGTCATGCACCGCTTGGATCGCGTCTGGGTGGCGGTCCCATCTGTTCGGCGGCGGTCCCGTCCGCGCTCGAACCGCTTTGATATTCTCCGACTCCGAATTTAGTATTATAAAGAATGAGAGTCGGATGAGTCTCAAAATCTGCACGACATGGTATACACTCACACACTGGACGCGTCCGATGGCGGTCTCAAAGCGGTCTCAAACAGTCTCAAAGGATCTCAAAGTGCCCCGAAACCTTCGGCGCCGAGCACATCCGCGAGTCTCACATGGTTTCACAGCGCCACAAACCCTGGGTGCCGAACGCGGTCGCGCGTCTTGAAGGCTTCCAAATCGCCCCGAAACCCTCGGCGCCGAGCCCGTCCGCGAGTCTCACATGGCCTCACAGTGCCACGAAGCCCTCGGCGCGGAGCGCATTCGCATGTTTCAAAGGGTCTCACAATGGCAAGAAACCCTTGGCGCCGAGCGCATCCGCGCGGCTCACCTGGCCTCACAGTGCCACGTAACCCTGGGCGCCGAACGCATTCGCGCGTTTCACGGGGTCTCACAGTTCCCCGAAGCCTTCGGCGCCGAACACATCCGCAAGACTCACACGGCTTCACAGTGCCACGAAACCGTCGGAGCCGATCGCATTCGCGCGTTTCAAAGGGTTTCACAATGCCAGGAGACGCCACCAACCAATCGCGCGGGAGTTGGAGCTCCGAGTGCATACAGCACCGTTGAGCCCCCAATGACGACGCCGCAAACGTCGACATGGCCACGGTTCCTCGCGCGATTCGGGCTAGCTCCGGCGAAGGACTCGGCCGACGAGCGAGCTCCTGAACATTTTTCAAAGCGAAGGAGAGGGGGGAAGTCAAGCTAGGTGCGCTCGCGTCATAGCTGACGCCTTACCTCTACCATCCCTTACAAATGCGCCGCTGTTTCTTTATCCGCGTGACTCCGACAAGGGCCGCGCCTGGCAGGATCATAGGGGTAGAATGTACGTGTGGTGGTGGCGTGCGTGGTGGTGGTGGTGGTGGTTTTGGAACATTTTGTGAGCCACGTTGAGTCGTCTCGGGCTATCTTGGGCCATCTTGGAGGTAATCTTGGGCTTTGCGAGGCTCTCTTAGAGTCATCTTGGGCCAGCTTGGACGCTCCAGCGCCTCGCGAACCCCCCTCTCCAGGTCCAGGGGAAGGGCCCCCCTGGATAACAAGCCGTCTAGGTCACTCCCACCCGCCCTCCCAACACATGAGTATCGCCCGAGCCTGAAAATGTTCAGCGGTCGTCTTTGGATGGGCAGCTAGGGGGAACCCAGACCCACACTATGTGCGCGACGCTGGGGCGAGGTGCGCCACGCGTGCCAGGCGCGCCACGCGCGCCAGGCACCCCTGGGGCCCGAGCGGCGCCTGCGCATGTGACAGCACACATCTGGAAACATGTCGGCCCCCACCGTCCTTGCCGTAAATTAATGCCCGTCATTGTCTGCTGGGTCTGCGCACAGCAGGCCATACGCCGCCACCCCCGCCGTCCCTGTCAAACACCAGTTGACAGTGATCGCGGAGTGACCGCGCATGAGCCAGATTTAGCTCTGAAGATCATGTTCTGTTTCTCGGTCAGGTATGGTAGCCCGGCGCACAGCTGGCAATATGCTGACAATCCCGCCGTCCTTGTCACAAACAATACACAGTGTTCGCGGGTCTCACGAGGATGACTCAAGACTTTGCCCCAACGTGTACTTTGTATTGCTGTTTGTTGTCAGGGATGATGGGGGGTGGGTGATTCGGGTTGGCCACGCATGCTCCAAATAAGGGGGCAGAGTGCGTTTTGTATGTTTTTTCTTTGACAGGGATTGCGAGGTGGGTGATCATGGTTCCTGGTTGGCCGCTGGTCGGCTGGGGGAGGGGGTGTATATGAATAGGAAAGGGTGGTCAGCCTTTCCCCGAATGGGTAGAGGGAGGGGTTCGAAGGAGAAACCGCTCTAGACCACCTACGCCCAGAGGGCTGGTGGGATTATGAGGCTCCGTTGACAAGTAGAGCCGTTTCAGGGGCGGTCTTAGGGCGTCCTGTACCATCCAAGGATTCATATACAGCCATCTTCGGATATCTTGAGCCATATTGGAGGTCATATTGGATTTTCTGAGGCGCTCTCGGAACCATCTTGGGCCATGTTGGACGCTCAAGTCGCCGTTTGGGCCCTCTTGGGGCGCTCTCGGGCGCGCATGTTGCCGTCCTGGGGCGAACTTGGACCTCTGTTTGCGTCAACGTGGGGCCCCTTGGATGCACGTTGGAGGTCATTTTCCGCCATGTTGGGCCCTCTCGGGGCCATCTTGAACGAGATCAATCAGAGAAGGGAGAGCTTAAAGCCGCCCTCGATAGCATTCCAAATCGCCTCATGATACTCTCTTGGGGCGCTGTTGGAACACTCTTCGGCGCTCCTGGGGCCGTCGTGGGGCTCTCCTGGGGCTCTCTTGGGGATTGGTTGGGCCATCTTGGAGCCATTTTGAGGCCTCGGAAGTCCATGGGAAGTGGAAAGGCGAGAAGGACGATGCCCAGGCGAGTTGCCCTGATCAGGGAGGTGGGGGAGCACACACGGGAACAAAGGGATCGGGAGGCCGTCCTACCCCAAGAGGGGGGAATTTTGGGGAGGAACAGGAGAAGGAGGAGGAGGAGGAGGAGGAGGAGGAGGACAGGAGGGAGCATGAGAAAGAGGAGGAGGAGGTGAAGGAGGAGGAGGAGGAGGAGGAGGAGGAGGGAGAAGGGGAGGATGGGAGGAGGGAGTTGGAGCATTAGGACATTTCATCGCTTCTGGATCGAGTCGCTGCGGTCTGAGACCACCGCTCTGGCAGAATGTTCGACGTTTATTCGAAAGGTCGTGGGTCGACCAGGTGTGTACGTTTAAATCATCGCCGGCCAGTCTTGATAGACTTTGAGCCGTAGTCCAAGTCCAAGGAGGAGGACGACGAGAAGGGCAGCACAATCAGAGACGATGCCCAGACGAGTCGCCCTGATCAGGGAAGTGGGGGATATACAGAGAAACACAGGGCTGGATAAACCGTCGTACCCCCAAAGGGGGAGGAAGGATGATGAACCAGAAGAGGAAGAGGAGGAGGAGGAGGGCGAGCAGGAGGAGGAGGAGGAGGAGGAGGAGGAGGGAGGAAGAGAAGGAAGCGGAAAAGGACGAGGAGGAGGAGAGGAGGAGGCGGAGGAGGAGGAGGTGGGGGAGGGGGGCGGAGGGAGGAGGGAGGAGGAGGAGGAGGAGGAGGAGGAGGAGGGCGAGGATGAGAAGGAGGAGGGGGAGGAGGAGGAGGAGGAGGAGGAGGAGGAGGACGACGAGGAGGAGGAGGATGAGAAAGAGGAGGAGGAAGGAAATGGCGAGCAGAAGAGCCAGAAGCTTCTTGAATGTGCTGCCTCTCGGAGTCTCTTCGGATGTCTCTTCGAAGCCTTTTGGAAGCCTCTTGAAGCGTCTTGGGGGCCTCCTGGCGGTCCCGGAGGCCTCTTTCAGCTTCTTGGGTGCGTCAGGGAGCCTCTTGGGGCCTCTTGGGGATCTATGGGGAGCCTCTTGGAGTCCTCTTGGGCGCCTCTTGGGACCTCCTTGGCGCCGTTTGGGGCCCTCTTGAGGCGCTTTTGGGAGCTTTGGGAACGCTCTTGGGGTCATCTTGGAGGAGACCGATCAAAGAAGGTGGGAGCTTTAATTTCGCCCCCCCCTCGGGAGCCCCACAAATCGCCTCTTGGACCCCTCTCGGAGCGATCTTGGGCCGCTCTTGGGCGCTCTTGGGGCTTTCTTGGGGCGCTCTTGGGCCTCTCTTGGACCATCTTGGAGCCATCTTGAGGCCTCGGAAGACCGGAAGACCATCGAAAGCAAAAAGACGGGTGAGCGACATTCATTAATTGTCCTTCGGTTTTCAAGGGTTTGGGCCTCTTGGCGGCCTCCTGGGGAGGCTTCGTGCCCACTTGGAACCGTCTTGGAGCAGTCTTGGGGCTTCTTGGAGCATCTTGGGAGCCATACTGAGCCATCTTGGGCTATCTTGGGCCGTCTTGGATGCCATTTTGGGCTCTCTCTTGCCCTCTTGAGCCTTCTTGGGCCATCTTAGATGCTCTAACCGCTCTCGGGGCCGGTGGGATTTTGAATAGGATCCACCCTTCACCCTTGACACCCTACAGCGAGTTTTCGAGACAGATGTGCGCGACGTGAATGCGAGAGACACACTTTTGAAACGACCCACTCTCCATCCGGGAAGCTCTCGCAAATTTTAAAACGAATGTGCGCTGCGCTAAAGCGAGAGCCACATTTTGAAAAAACGACCCGCACTCCATCCGTGAATCTCTGGCAAGCTTTAAGACGAATGTGCGCTGCGATACCGCGAGACCTACATTTTGAAAACCACTCGCCCTCAATCCATGGAGCTGCTGCGAATGTCAAGCATCAGGGTCATCAGTGGTACAGAAGTCTGAGGCGAAACGCCCGGCCCGCCCTGCCGACCCGTCCCTGGGTGCGACAGGGAGGAGTTATCTATAAGGAAGGCGGACGGAGGAGGAGGAGGAGGAGGAGGAGGAGGAGGAGGAGGAGGAGGAGGAGGAGGAGGAGGAGGAGGAGGGGAGGAGGAGGAGGAGGGAGAAGGAGGGAGGAGAGGAGGAGGAGGAAGGACGACGAGAGAGGAGGAGGACAGAGAGGAGGAGGAGG